ATATATATATTAACAAAAATAAATAATGAATGCCTAAATGTAGAGATTTATTTACAATAATGAAATTGATTTATCAACTTTAATATTATGAATGTTTCAAGTATTCCAAAAAACTCTCAGACGAAATAAAGCATTTGATATGAGCATTTTTTTTATATCACCAAGATCCACTTATAAACGCTTACTTCTTTATTGAATGGACAAGCGTCCGTTGACCTAGTTGGATCATTGCCACAACATAAAAAGATGCAATTCATTGGCTTACCTAAAATGCTTCTTCAGGTAAACTGACGCATATTTATTTCTAAACATTAAGAATTATTGCAAAAGCTACGTTAAATGGCTCTACGGAACATATTTTGTTAAATATAATTTTTCTCTGTCCTTTGCGATAAGTAAATTTCACACAATATATAATATTATAAAAAAATGTTGGTTACGTTTAATCACAACAATTTTATTTTATAATTTTAGATACAATTTCCATAATTATTTTATTTCACTTTATCAAATAAGTAAGGAAGCCAATTTACGTCTGAGTTTCAGCTACTAAAGTATAACTTCTCAGATTTGTAATTTTAAATATAACCCAGAAGAAAAGATGGTGACTGCGATCTTTTATTGAAACAATTCCTTATTTGCTTCTCCATCAGAAAGAATCCTTATACGATATCCCTGGATTAAGTGGAATTTATCCCATGATTTGTCTAATAAGGAAGAAGTGGTCTTTCAGAATTAAAATTGTAAAATTTCATGTTCCGAAAATTCTCCGATTCAGTGCATACAATACGTATTTCCGCACACTCAAGTATAAATAAATTAAAAGCAGGTAAATATTAAAAATTATTTTCTTACTTCAACGACATTTAATTTATATTTTAAACTTTCAAAAAATTTTACTGAGGTAAGCGATAGTTACTGTTTTTTAATTATAATAACATTTTCAAAATTAAGGTTTAATTACATTAACACGTTATTAAAAATTTTATGTATATATATATATATATATATATATATATATACACTATCTGGAAGAAAGTGACGGGACAACTGTAAAGTTTGGTGGAGGAGGATTGATGGTATGGGGCTGGCCCACTGGTGAAGGTTGATGGTATGATGAATGCCGATGGATACTGTGATATTCTCGACAATCATGTCCTTCTTACCTTGTGAGCAACGTACGGTATGGATGATTGCTTGTATCAAGACGACAACGCAAGATCCCATGTTGCAAAGAGGACTCTTGATTGGTATGCGAACAACAACGTTAAACGCATGGAGTGGCCAGCGTAGAGACCTGATCTTAACCCAATTGAACTTCTCTGGGACGAATTGGACCATCGATTGAGGGCCTGCACCTCACTCCCCAAAAGCAAGCATGAACTATGGAATTTCCTGTTAAACATTTGGAAGGCTATTCCTCTTGCCACTATGGCTAATTTAGTAAAAAGCATGTCCAGAAGGGTTGCAGCTGTGATCGCAGCCAAGGAGGCCCTACCTCTTATTAATTTTAATAAATATGGGTTTGCGTCGTTATAGTGTCGTGTCCCGTCACTTTCTTCCAAATAGTGTATATATATATATATATATCTATATCTATAATAAAATCCTCATTTTCCTTTACATTCTCGTACGTATAATACCAATGCATGCTGTACACCTTTAATACTATAAAAATAATTTTGATTATTATAAAGTGATTTGTTATAAATTTTGAACATTTTTAAAATGTTAACGAACATATGAAATTTTAATGTTCTTTATTGCGCATAATGATTTTCAGACAATGCTTATTGATAAGTATACGCATATATCTTTTAAAATACACGACGAGATATTACAATCCCACAGAAACGTTGCTTATGCCTTTTATATCATAGAAGCACCATTTTTTTGAAGAAAAAAAAGAACCTTCAAAAATAAACTTATTTTTAAAGAAAATAAATTGAAAGACCAAAAAATAGACATTTTTTTCAACAGCAAAAAAAAAACAGGTAGTGTGAATTTCTAAAGTAAAATAATAACTACCACGGTATAGCTTGCCACAACATTTTGTGTAAAATCCCCCAGGACAAGCACTTTTCTGACACGAATGCAGCCGGTGAGAGATAAAACATGATTGATGCCCTTCGTAAAACACACGTACTGAGTCTAAGGAAACATAGTTGGAGTACCCCGGACATCGTATAGTCCCCAAGAGAGTTTCCTTACCTTCGTTAGAACACAATACCCTGTTTCAAAACCTCGATAATTAGTGCTAAAGCATGAGTTATAACACCCTATGACACATATAAGAGCCAGTTAATTAGCTAAAGTTGCTTAAGAGGGGCATTTTTAGGGTGTTAGTTAAAGAAGAGAAATCTGAATCAACAGAATTCTTTAGTGTTATGTTTATTACAGTTTATAGTGTTAGCATTTTCGCTCGAATAAAATTTATGAGGTAAAGGTATTTTATAAGGTTGAAAATTTTTTTTTTTCGTAAGGAGTACATTTTTACTCGTTGAAGTAGAAAATTGGCAAAGGAAAGAAGTGTACCGTGAATAGTTCCTATCTCAAGTTATTCAGTTCCGTAACATTAGGTTCAGGACATAATGGTTTCCTGTTAAACTTATTTTCTTTGATGTATTTAAGACAAATTAGATTTCTAAAATTATTAGAAGATAAATACGTGTGGTCGTTTAGCCTTGGCTTGATAAAAAATAAATAATATGTAGAAAAGTATATTTCACTAAATATATTGGAAATAAGCGTAATTTTATTAAAATAAAAAATACTTTTTGTAAGCAAATTTAAAAACACTGGGTGTTTTTAATTTACTCGAACTTTTTATATATTACTTCGTAAAATAGATATAAAAAGTAGAAAATTAACAAAGGAAAGAAGTGTGCAGTGAATAGTTTCTATCTCAAGCTATCATCACTTCGAAGTATTGAAAGCAACTTATATTATTAAATTATTAGATTATAAATAAATGTGGATATTTAAATCTTTTTATTTAACCTTTCTTTCTTCGAAGTATTTAAAACAAATCAAATACTAAAATTATTAGGAGATAAATAAGTGTGGAGAATAAAAATTTCCTTGAAAACATATTTTATACAAAATCCTAAATTTCAGTAAATATTTTCAAAATAAGCTTAAATTTATTAAAAGCAAAAATATCTGTTGTAAACAATCTAAATCACTGGATTTTTTTAAAAATTTTGTTCACATTCTTTATTTGTTATCTTAAAATTTAGATGTATGTTGAAGAAAAGAAAATGCGAAAGATTTCTATCGTGAATAGTTTCTATCTCACGTTATTTAGTTCCGTAACATTAGGTTTTGGGCATAATGGTCTCTCGCTAAGCTTATTTTCTCTGAAGTATTTAAAGCAAATCGTATTGCTAAAGCTATTAGAAGATAAATAAATTTAAATAATTAAAGTCGCTTTGATAAGATATAATATGCAGATTCGTACATTTAATTTTCTAAATGTATTCTAAGCTTAATTTTGCAAAATTTCAAAAGATTTATTCTATACAGTTCAAAACACTAAATAAGTCTTTTTAAATCGACTTTTTATATATTATTTCAAAATTTAGATTTATGCTGGATATCTTAATACAGAGATTGGCAAACATTTATACCTGCGCTATTTTGTTATAAAAATTAACATAATTTTACACAACTACTTATTACAAAAAAATTTCTGATTAAAAAACTAATTATCATGAGTAAGAAATAAACATAGATGTTTTTAATACAAATTTTTTTTTGCATATTAAAATTGAAAAATTTGCAGAAATTTACTTACCTCTTCAATGATCAGAACTATCAAATTTATTTTTTTAGTCCTGTAAAAAAATAAGTTAGTTACTGATACTTTAAACATAATAGTTAGAAAAAAACATTTATTCATTTAATGCATACCTATTGCTGCACATTAAACAAAATGAGCACACACATAATGAAGTTCAAATATATTATGTTATTCAAGCTTACTATTCTATTTTATTCTTTAAAGGTGACCGTGTTTAGCGAAACAACGCTCAGCTATTAATTCAAAGAGTATGGTATTGAGACTGAAATAATCGAAATAATTTAGAACTAATATTTTAATAGTTACATAATCGTAATTAGAATTTTTGAGTTGTAGTTCTTAACAATTTTTGAAATTCTCCGGTCAGTATAGTAGTCTATATAGTAGTATGTTTTAATATGTTTATAGGCCATGTATGTTATGTATGTTTAATATGTTATGTATGTTTAATATGTTATGTATGTTTAATAGGCTACGCACAGGAAGCAGTAATAAATGAAGAAATAAAAAATAATGCAATTATTTTAAAATCATAATAAAATTAAAGAAAAAATTATGAAATTAAGTTCTTAAAAAAGCGTCAAATGACCACAAGACTATTAAAACTCTATCTGAGCACAAAAAGCGGATTAAAACATTATTTTTGATTCATTTATCTGTGTTTAGTGCCTATTAGCAATTATCATATATCTGAAGAATTAATGTTAAAAGAACATAAAAGAAAGAAAATTTTCATAAAAGTCCCTATTTGTCAAAAAAAGCGGGAGAATAAAAAATTCATTAATTAAAATGCCAAATGCATTAAAAACTAACATTATAAGAAAAAAAGAAATCCTACAGAAAGTGATTTTATTAGAGAGAGACAATAAGAATGATTTTTTAAGAAAATTTTATAAACATACATAAGCTTATTGATTTCATGTCTTTGCATCTGACTCTAAAATACTATTGAGTTACGTGGCTAAGGAGTTTCAAGGATAATATGATACATGATTTCGAAGGAGTTTCGACACATATATTATTAGATTTCATGCACTAAAGAAATTCCTGATCAAATTACGGTACCAATTACGGTTACGGTTTGGGTGCATTATGCGTAAAATCCATTTTTACCGCAAATTATTATACCGTAAATTTAAAGAAATATTTTTTAACTCAAGGGATTTAGTGATTATTACTATAAAAATAATGATATATCATATTTTTTGTTTCGTAACTGGTTCCGTTAAAAGTGGATTTTACGGTAAAAAGTAAAGGACCTGTATACAGGGATTCATATATATATATATATATATATATATATATTTCTGATGACTTCGT